TCTGAGCTCCCCCCGCCCCCCAGGAGCCGCTCAGAGACTCAGTGAGGCGGGTCACACAGGGTTCCCTCCCTCCGTCCGCAGCAGCCAGGAAGCACACGTGCAGAGTAGGTGTGTGGGGAGTTGGGCAGGCGAGGCGGGGGGAGCACCGGCCCAGCCCTGGTCAGGCAGAGCTTCCAGAGACAGTAGCCCAGGGACGGGGCAAGGAGGATGGGGCTCCCCAGAGGGAGCAGTGTGTGGAAGGCACAAGAGGAGGAGGGAGCGAGGGACACAGCAGAGGGAGGGGCTGCGGAGTTGAGGCCCCGGAGGAGGCAGGCAGAGCCAGAGCGAGCAAGGGGTTTGGGTTTCTCCTGACGCAGGGACGGGCCTGGGGAGGGTGTCCAGGAGGGGAGTGGGGTGACCGGGTCTGCGGCTGTGGTTGTGGCGGGAAACGGTGGGGGAGGCTGGAGCAGTAGAGGGGTGGGCTGGAGAGGGGGGACATGGACCCCAAGGAGAGGGAGGCCACAGCCCCGGGGACTGGCGCCCTGTCGGGGTGTGAACGCTCAGCCCGGACAGAGGTGGGTGGTGATGGCGCCAGAAAGCAGAGCAGCAGTGCAGGTTGGGGGTGGGGTGGGGAGTCCTGGCCAGGCAGACACTTGCATGGGTTAGCTGCTCAGGAGGGGCCTGGGCTGGGGACAGTGAGGGTCCCTCATGTGTGGGACGGAGCAGACAGCCGGGCAGACCCTGGGACGGAGGCCTCAGGAGAGGGAGCCAGGAGCCGAGCTGAGGGACCGCACCTGCCTGGTCCCTGGGGTGGATTTACTGGGGGAAGAGGGCGGCCCCGGGCACCCTCCCCGTGTCCCTGACACCCTGCTCTCTCCCCAGAAGCCGCTGCAGCAGCTGTGGAACGCCATCCTGCTGGTGGCCATGCTCCTGTGCACAGGCCTCGTGCTGCAGGCCCAGCGGCAGGCGTCCCGGCACAGCCAGCAGGAGCCCGGAGGCCAGGTGGGAGCCAGCGCGGGGAGTCCGGGGCCCCCCGGTGCTTGGACTATTTCTGCAACAAGCAGGTGAGGCCCCGGCAGAGGCCCGCCATCCGCTGACCTGTGACTCCCCCACTCCCCCCGAGACCTGGGGACCACCCCCACCAGCACCGCGGAAAGCAGGATGGGGGTGGCAGGGCTCTGGGGTTTCAGTTCCCCAGCCGGGGTGAGGACAGGGGCCGGCACCCCCTGGAGGCCTGCAGCTGTGGCCTGAGCCCTTCCTCCTCTCCCCTCAGTGGCTCCGGGTGCTGCCCTGTAAGCATGAGTTTCACCGGGACTGCGTGGACCCCTGGCTGATGCTCCAGCAGACCTGCCCACTGTGCAAGTTCAACGTCCTGGGTGAGCATCACGGATGGGGCCCTTGGCTGGCTCCACTGGTCCCCACCTGACGCTGCCCTCCCTGTTTTCTCCCTTCCTCCCTGCAGGGAACCGCTACTCGGAGGATTAGCTGCCCCAGCTGGCGCTCTGCACGGGGAGATGCCCCCCCCCCAACCTGCACTCTGGCCCTCGCCTGGGCAGGACAGGAAACCCTGAGGGTGGGAGGGAAGATGGGGCCTTCCCTGCTGAGCAAGGCACCCCCCCACATCCACCGCCCCCAGGCTGAGGGTGCCGGGCCCAGACCTGCTGGGAAGTGAGGGAGAGAGGCCCCTTTGGGGTCTTTGTGTACAGTCCTGGGGTGTCTGCCTTCTTGCAGGCAGCCCCCGGGCCTGGGGAGAGGTGAGGGCGGCGGGAGCTCTGCCTGCCCGTCAGGACACCCCAGGGCCAAGGCTGCAGTGGCCACTTTTGTGCTTATTTATTGGGGGGTGGGTCGGGGAGCAGCTGTCTAGCCTCGGGGGCACCCTGGCCAGACCATCTTTCAGGGCACATCTTGGTCAAGGCTGGATGTGAAACCCAGGGGCCTCCTGCCCGCGGGCTTTGGGCACTGGGAGCCAAGGGCTCCCGGCCATCCAGGGGGGGGCCCTCCTGCCTGGGGAGACCAGAGACCGCAGAAACCGTCCAGTTCCGTGTTGCTCGGTGGGGCGACGGTCACTGCCCAGGACACTTGAAGCCCCGGATAAATGTGGTGCATCTTCCAGGGCGTCCGTTTTTTTACAAGACTTGGGGGAGGGGAGGTGGTTTACTATTAAAATAAACAAGGATATATTTTAACGTAAGAAATAACATGTGCGTGGATGTTTTAAGATTGAACAAGCAAACCTCGGGCTCCGCTGCCTAAGGGAGGTGGGCTGTAAGACGGCCCCACGAACCACCTGCACCACCCGGGCACTGGGGCTCGCATGGCTTTGACTCTGTGATGAAGTGTCCCCGAGAGGGACACACCCAGGTGGGCTTCCCCCAACCACGGGAGGAATTCTCTGCTGCTGACTGGGAGGTGGAGAGGCCACGCGGCAAGGAGGGCCGCCGCCTCTGAGCTGTGCAGCCCCTCGGACAGCCGGCGGCCGCACAGCTGCAGGGGCAGCATTCTGCCAGGACCGGAGGAGCTGCATGCTTCCCCGGAGCCGGCGGACGGAACGCAGCCTGGCAGACACTTGGATCTCGGCTTCGAAGCCCCTGAGCAGAGAACCCCGCCGCCCCGGCCGGGCCTGTGAACCACGGAGCTGGGAGCTGAGGATGCAGAGGGGCTGAGCCGCGATGTCCTTCCCCTGCACCTGGGCCTCTGGCCTCAGGGAGCCCCCAGCCTCAGGGACCCCGGGCTCCACAGCAGCAGCTGGACAGACCCTGGTCATGCCAGCTCAGCTACACACGTGGCTCCTCTGGACGCTTTTCTGTAAATGGGGTGCTCCACCCGTGGGCCTCCTCACTGGGGAAAATGTCAGGGAGCTGGGGGTGCCCACCCTAAGCCCTCAGGTCTCAGGGCTTAGGTCCGTTGTGGCTCAGGGCAGGCTGGAGGCCCTGAGGAAACTGGACTGCAATGGGCCTGGCCTGGCTGCTGGCACCAATGCCGGGCCGTGAGGGTTAGGCCTGGGAGAGCCAGGGCTGGCTGGGTGCCCCGATCTCTGGCTGGGTGGGGCCCTGCCCAGCTTTCAGTGGCCTCCTGGGGATCCAGTCTCCTGGCTTTAGAGAAACCCTTTGTGACTTACATTTCCTGAAGGGATTTCTCAAAGAAAGGGGTCCCTATTGTCCTCAGAGCCAGGCTGGGAGGCCCCAAGTTCAGACCTGGGGCTAGGGAAGGCGTCACTGCCCCCTGCCGAGTCCAGAGCAGGGACCCCAGCCTCAGTCTCCTTTCTTAGCTCACGTACCCCCAGTGGACCCACCTCCAGCTGCTCTCCGTCCTGCACACCCCCTCCACTGACCCTGCCCTTTTCTGGGGTGTCACTGCGCCCCCTTTGGCCCTTGGTATGGGGGTCAAACGACTGCCTGTCACCTGGCCCGGGTGCCAGGAGCTTCTTTGCCCTCGGTGAGCCCCCTTCTCCCACTGCCTGTCGGGAGCTCAGTCACTGAGGTCCCACGGTGCGCCGGCCTCTGCTGACGCTGATCTCCATGGCGGGGGCCGTGGTGGTCCCTGCCCAGGACGGGGAAGGAAGGCCCTGCCCTGGCTCAGACGGTGCTGTGAGCCCCAGGTCGCTGTGGGTAGATGGTGTGGCTTTATTACGTTGGGTGGGCTGCCAGCTACCCGTCCTTTAGTCCCACCCACTGCAGGCTACATGGGCGGCTCCTGGAGCTGGTGTGCCGGGCTGGCCGGGCCCCGGCTTGGTGACATTCTCCTCCTCAGCCTGGCCAAGACCTGGATGGGGTTCTGGGCACAGGTGGTCGAGTAGGTCACATCCTCCAGTGGGGACTTGCTGGATCTGCCGCAGGACTGCGGAGATGGCGACGCCCGGCGCGGGCCCGGCAGGATCCTGCCCGCACTGGCTGCCCTGCTGCCAGGTGAGTGCCACCTGCCCAGCAGCCTGAGGAGGACCGGATGGCACGAGCCCCTGTGAGCAAGGGGGCCCGGCCCAGCCCCGCCCATCAGCCCCCCCTCTGGCAAAACCTCACTCACCCTGAGGACACTTTCTGGGCCTGGACGGGGGGTGCTGCTCCCTGGATTCCCTGGCTGGAACGGGCCCAGAGCTGGTCCTGCGGGATCAGCTGCAAAGAGAGCCAAGCTCGGAAAGACCCAGGCCCCCTCCCCTGCTCAGAGGGTGGCACAGCCTGAGAGGGCGAGGGAGGGCCCGGGCCTGTGCCCACGGCCGTTCCTCTGACGGCCGGGCTTGGGAAGCCCCCAGGGCCGGCTCGGCAGCAGGAAGGGTGGGAAGGTTTGCTTTCTGATTAGGCTCCTGGCTGCACTTGGAATAAGAGTATGAAGGGCTGGCGGGGAGGACTTGGAGCTGGAGGACCTGTGACAGCCCCCCATCTTTACACACGGATGCTCCCAGCAGGAGCCTAAAGCCGCCTGTGGTCAGGGGCTCTCAACAGGTTCCCAGGGTGGGCTCTTGGGTGAGGGTCCAGGCTGCCCACCTTGAGGCCCCCCTGCTGGGCCACCTCCTGAATCTTGGACAGCATGGCCTGGAGCCGCCCGTTCTCCTCCTGCAGGACCCGGATGCGGATGTCGTTGGCCTGCACCTGCCTCTCCATGTCGTCCATGACGTTGCCGGAGCCTGTGGGACAGGTTACCTAGGACCTCCCCCGCTAGGACAGGGCCTCAGAGGGCAGGCGTGGTTGGTGGCCCAGCAGGCACAGGGGAGCCGGGCAGGGTCGTGCACGGGCCTCCCCTCATCCTCCCTCTCCCGAGGTCCGGCCTCCCTCCCCACCCGCACCTGCTAGGAGGCTACAGTATAGAAGCTGAGAGCTGGGTGCAGACCTAGCAAATAGACAAGCCCGTTTCTGGAAGGCCAGAGAGACAACGAATTGCCCAAGGCCTCGCGGCTGCTCTTGGGCATGAGCCAGGGATTCGCAAGGATGCGCTTCCCAGCACTCGGGGAGTCATGCTTGGGGCTGAAGTTTCCGGGTCAAGCGCCTGCCCTCTTTGGTCCTGGATTTGTAAAGCGGCTGCTCCCTGCCTGCCAGGGCAGTGGAGAGGGCAACAGAGGGTGCAGCGATAGGTCAGCGCTCAGGATGATGACTTATCGTGGCCAGTTAAACTGCACGGATCTTCCTGGCGGCTCTGAATGGATTCACCCCTGGAGCTTAGAGGGAGGGCTGGAGGGGCCGGACCAGGACCCAGGTCCTCTGCTGAAATGGGTCCCTAGCACCCCTGGGCGATGATGGGGTCCGGGACCTGGGACAGTTGGGGCTGTGCCCCTGGCGCAGGCCGCATGGTGTGGTTTGGGAGATGCTCGGACAGGGGCCCAGGGAAGTTGAGCAAGGACTGGCATTTGACATGTGGGGATGAGCAGTGTTTGGATGCGGCTGTGTGACCCTGGGCAGTTACCTCACCTCTGGGCGTCCGTGTCCCTGACTACACAAGCTGGGGAGTTGCAGACCCCCGTGTCCCGCTGCCCTGGGTCCCAGCGTGCCCTGGGCACCATCCCTGGGCCCTTACTTTGGATCTGGGTCTCGACAGGCTTGTGCAGGTCCGGGAAGGCCACCAGCAGCCGCTCCCGCTCCCGCAGCGCCTCGAGCTCCCGTTCCAGCCCCGAGATGGTCAGCTGCAGATCTGTCGCCACCTGCTCCAGGCCTTGCTTCTCCCCGTTCAGGCTCTGCAGCAGCTCCTGGGACAGAGGGAGGCTCAGGCCTGGCCCGAGGAACACTTCCTGGGAACACCCACCCCTTCTACTCCCTGGACCCGGGACAGGCCTGTAGGCGCCCAGCTACCTGGGGGCTCGTCCCCCTCCCGCTGCCCACCCCCACCTGCTGGGCCTGGAGCTGGCACTGGCCCTGCTCCCTCTCGCTCTGCACGCTCTGCAGCTGCTCCTCCATGTGGGCCCGCTGGGTCTCGGCCTCGTCCAGGCTGCCCCGCAGCTCCTCACGCTCCTGGTCCAGGCTGTCCAGCTGCTGCAGCAGGGCTCGCTGCTTGGCCTGTAGGGACTGAGTGAGCAGGGAGGCCGTGAGGCCCGTGGGGCTCAGCTGAGCCACGTGGGACTAAGGAGGCTACAGTGTCTGACCTCTGCCCCCGGCCCTCCCTTCTGAACGGAGTCAGTCTGTGTGTGTGTGGGGGGGGGGAGGGGGGGGCGCCCGTGCACACGTGTGAAAGGCAAGGGACAGAGGGAAGAGGGTAGGGGTGACACACCCCCCAGCCCAGACCCCTGGTTTGCAGACCCTGCCCCCCTGGAAAGCAGTTGGCTGACTATCGGCCTCCCCCCAGGAATTTTAGGAAATGTTTTCTTCTTTTCCTTAGAGCTTCAGCCCATGCCACTTGGAAGCCACAGTTCCTGACACCGCTGAGTGCAAAGCAAAAAGAACCAGCCCGTCATTTCTGAGTCCTGGGTCGAGCTCTGGCTAACTGTTGGACTTCATCTCACCGAGTCTCAGTTTTTTCACCCATAAAATGGGGGTGATGAGCACCTGCCACCCACTGTCGTGGGGAGGAGGAAGGACGAGGGGGCTGCAGAGGCTGGGCCCAGCGCCTGGCTCACAGAAGCCACCTGATGCGTGGGCGACCGTGACTGTTCTTGCAGGGCACTGAGAAAAGCACCCCAGTGGGGACTCCTGCAAGACCCCATTGCTCAGGGCATAGATGTATCCTGTGCTCCGGTTCATCCTCTGTCTTCCCTATCCTTCCTGTTGCGGATGAACCAACCACCAGCAATTGGAGTACAGTGCAAAGGCCACCTCCTCCCAGAAGCCATCCTGGGTTACCACAGATGTGACTATCCATCCCTGGATCCCTGCAGCACGTTTCCTGCCCCTCTTAGCCAACTGGCAGGAGAGCTGTGGTGGCACAACTGCTTGGCCCATTTGGCCGTGTCTGCCCTGGGTCACCTTTCCCTCAGTTCTCGGCTCAGACCCTCCATGGAGGTGAGTCCATCCAAAACCTGGGTATGTGTCGGGGAGGAGGTACCTTACACAGCTACACCCCCACCTCCACCAGTGGAGCCCTCTCCCTGAAGCCTACAGCGCGGGCACCCAGGGCGCTGGCGATGCCCCGGCCTCACCTCCTGGTGGCGGACCATGCTGTCGACGCGGGCCTTCTCCTTGTCCAGCTCTGTGCTGGCCCAGCGAATCTGCTGGCTGGCCCCGTCCAGCCTCCCGGCCAGCAGCTGCACCTGCTCCTCCAGCTGCTGCACCTGCCTCTCGGCCTCCAGCCTGCGTTCGGCCTCCTCCTGCAGCTGCTGGGCCTTTGCCTCTGCAGGATGGAGCGGGTGCAGGAAAGGACAGGGCAGGCGAGTCCTGGGTGCGAGTCCCGGCCCTGCCTCGGACCCAGGATAGGACCGGGGTGAATGTGTCACAGCACGTCCCTGGGTCTGTGTCATTGGCCACAACATGGTGCTTGAACCCCCCGAGATGGGTTCTGAAAACAGAAGTGGCACCCCAGTCCGGCAGTACCCAGCAGTGTGGTTGCTCAGGCCCGCCTGCCTCTGCTGTTCCCTTCACCTTTGCCCCGGGAGCCCAGGGGACAGAGACGGAGGGCGCTCGTGCTGTACCACCGAGCACGGGGCACGGGGCACGGGTCAGGGCTCCTCACCCACGGCCTGTGTGGACTCCTGCTGCTGCTCCAGCTCCCTCTCCAGGGCGGCCACCTTACTCTTGAGCTCACTTGTTTCTGTGCAGCCAAGAGAGAGTCCCCTGAGTTCCCTTCAGATGCTGGCTGGTGGCCGGCATGCCCAGTGCCCCCTAGAGAGTCGTGGCAGCCATCGCCCCGTGGAGGCGCCTCCTGGGCTGGAGGGTGAGCTCCAGGAGGTCAGGAAGCCCGGTCCCCGTCCGCCCTGCTTCCTGCTGGCTGGCTGCCACGTCTCTACCTCCCTGGGCCTGTGTCCTCCACGGAGGCAGCGCGAGGCTGAGAGAGACCAGGACTTGCCCACCTCCCTCCGGCCTCCCGTTAGCGGGCACTGGCCGACTCCCAGTGGCTGCGTCTCTTTGCCTAATGACTTTTGCCAAAGCCAGAGGCCACCCTGCTGGCTAGAGGTGCCAAGGGGGCAAACTCCCCAGGAGTCACCTTTGGTGACCAGCAGGAGCAGGCAGGTGAATGCCCGTTCCCTCGCCCTCGGAGGGGGCAGCTGTGGGATACGTGCTCTGCCCTGGCTCCAGTGTTCCCAGGGGGCTGAAGCCCAGTTGCCTGGGTGGAACTGGCCTGACGACTGTACTTTTCTGGCTGCCTCCCTGCCCTGCTCTAGGGCTCACTCCCCAGCCAGGGTTCCTTCCACCCCAACTACTTGTCCAGCAGCCCCGTTGCAGGGTCTGCTACGAGAAGAGCCCACGCTCAGGCCGCAGCAGAGCCCGCCTGGAGGGCTCCCCGGAGGAAGTGGCACGAGGGCCCAGCCTCTGGGGCACAGACCTGCGAGCAGCTGCTGCTTGTCCTGCTCCCACTGGGCCAGCTGCTGCTGGGCCTCGCTCGCCTGCCACCGCCGCTGCCTCTGCTCCTGCTGCAGCGCCTGCT